TGCTCCATCAAACAATCTCTCTTCTCTATACTTAACATAACTCACAGATGGTCACAAAACCAGTTTTGCTGCTTGCCTTTTCAGCCGCAGCAAGGACATCCATTTAGGTTTGTTTATTCACATTAAATGGCAAAGCTTGAGATGTTGGCTTCACATTTTAAATGGGATGGTCTGACTATTTGCTAAAAGCTGATATCTGCCTCATATTGTCAATGCTATGTAGCTTAGAGTATGCTTGTGTTAAAAAAATATAGCACATATCTACAGTGCAGCCATTTGCCAGTCAGCAAACTAAGGCCAACTAAGGACAACATCTCGTTAAAGCAGAAATGAGGGCTCACTTCAACAAATTTGAGACAAATAATCAAGAGTACGGAATAAAATAGCTTTATTACGTATCTCGAAACAATGGATTTAACAATAAAATAGCTAAATCCGGTTACAAATCATATGTTGGAAGCAGGTAAGGTTAGCAGTTAGCTGCTCCCTTGCTTGCTTTAAAAGCCAGCAACTTTCTCGTTACTAGGAAAACTAAACTTATCTAAAAACGGAGTTTTGGTAACGTTTTGTCATCGGTCTGTTATTGGTAAAATTCTTGTATCAGCTGATTTGACTTAAAATCTGTAAAATGAGTGTTCAAATGGTGATGTCTAACTTTTAAACTTCATTTCGAAGGTATTTCTTGAATTTTTCACCCCCTGCATTTCGGGAGTGGTGTTATTGCCTCGGGCAAAAGAAATACATGGAGTAAAACTTTATACAAGATTTTGCTGGGCCGTGTCCGATCTGTCGTCAGCACGCTTGTCAGCTGGAGTACGTGACGTCATGTGTTCTGAAGGTGCGGTCGATGTGTGAGTTGACCGGAAAGTTTTAAACATCACCTTCCTTTCTTCCTTTACCTTTTACTTCAGACCACACACTAACTCAGGCCTACCGCCGGCACACTACGTGCAAAGTGGTGTTTGTCAGTGTGGCCTCTGCTCCGGTATTAGCATCATCTATCCCATCCATATGTTTAGTGCTTCTTCCAATTTCCAATTCATTTCAATTTCTCCGCTCTCATTTTAAGTGTTTACTTATACCGCTATCAATTTACTGGACAACGTGACCATGCACTATTCCAATCACTCTCACGCACCTTTTCACGGCTACTCTTGGTATTTCAATTCCCTACTACCGTCTATCTTACGTTGCATCTCCCCCAAAATTAGAAACAAGTGCCCCCCTCCCAGCCAACGTCCTCGCCAGTGCAGGGGCTACCAAATCACACTTCCGCTTCAGTCGGAATTATTTTTTAATCTGGTAGTGCTTTCTCTTCATGCCAACGGGCTGACCAAAAAAGAAATCCTGGCGTCATCGTCAGCCGGCGCGTGACGTAACAGGCCACGTGACTTTGTGGCCACGTGACGTGATGTAGGGCGAATACTGGGCCATGACTGGTGCTGAGAAACGTGATTACGACAGATCGAACGCGACCCATCGTTTCTACCAGGCCTTGCTTTGGTGGTGTGGTGCTTGCGTGGTGCGACCAAAAAGGGGGATACGTGAAAACCTTGCATCTGTCACACAGCTGTAAATTGTGACGCATTTTGTAAACAAACCAAACTTGATGCATGCAAGTGGCTGGAGCCGCTGGGACTCTTGGGCTTGAAGGTACCTGGTCCCCTTGCTCTGCGCATACATAGACATGATTTCAGATGTAGGTCAGGGAAATATGGGTTGGTATGTGCGGTTAGACAATATTAGGGAGGAGTGAAAAATTAGGCTAAAATGTGGGGAAAAGGAGCGAAAAAATCCTGCTCATAGGGTGCTGCTTTACACCCAAAGTCGGCAATTCTAGGACATTGATGCACCGATTTAGTCCTGGAATGCGGTTATATGTAGACTTTTCTTGGATCTCTGGGATACTTTGGTAATGCATATTTTCCTGTGTTTTTTCTGACAAAAACCAGCCCATTTTATGCACACAGCAGAAAACATTGCTGTGTTAAACTACGTAATTTGCAGACAAAGTCTGAGCTGCTGCAAGGCTGGTTTGGTATGCTGTCATAGACTTGACAGCCATGTTTTGGGATGACAATCCGACCCATGCTTTCGATTCGATTCGAACATTGGGTGGTGTTTACGACTTGTACATGCGCTGTGTGCTCTTATCCATCAGATATTCCCGTTAACCACTGTGCATTTGCATGTGACCTGTGTTCCCCGTGATCTGCGATTTGTTTGATAGATGACATGCAAAATCAAGGAGTGCATTTTTTTCAAAATACGCTCGAGATGGATTGGGCGGCGAAAAACGTCAAAACTTGTTTTGTTGTTAGGGGGGGGGGGAAGGGGGGGCTGAAGCTGGAGCCCACTCACTTAACAGGAAACCACATCCAAGGAGGAATCTATCACTAATACAGGATTGTTTCAGAATGACTGTTGCTCTTGCGTTGAATTTTCTCCTCTCAGAATGTATAGTTAAGGAACTGTGCCTAACGGCAGGTGGTACAGTTATTAAACTATGGTATTATGAATAGCTACTTTTCTGGAAGCTACAGAATATTATGGCTTATATGTTTGCGTAATGGCGTGTATTGCATCGCTGGAAAACCTTTCCATGAAATGCAACTTCCCTGTTTTATCACTTTTGTGCAAATGACTCTTGTTCCATCACGACCTGGTACAAAAAATTGTTCGCTAATGAACCATAACTTAATGCTTAAGAGAGTACATGTGGGAGCATTTTAGCTGTACAATATCCGCCAACAGCCGTAATGCGGCCAGCAATATCCGCTAGAAGCACTGCACACTTCTCGAGCTCGCGCGTTACCGGTGTGCGGACTCAAAAGCGGCAGCTTTATCGTTTACTTCACGGCGCCACAAGCGCAAACCCGCACGTCTGGTCGGGGTCGTGCAATGCCAAGGCTCTAATGTCTAGGACCGCGGCTCATTCTGGGCCGGGAAAGCAGAGACGTGGTTCAAGTGGTTCACCAATGAGTGCGCCAAAGGATGGATGCCTCCGGTGACGTTTTTGTATAAGCGCCGGCTGAGTGTTTGTCTCGCATGCACCGCACTGGTCTGCATGGAAGACACGTGTTAGAGGATCATGGCTGCCTAGCGTGAGCGCGCTCGTTTAAAGGCCCGCTCTCCTGTGGAAGTGCACCGGCGCGTGCAATAACGAATGCGTTGTAATGGCTATTGGCTCTTGGGTCGGTCTTTAAATGCTATCTGATTGTCATGGGGAAGCGTTTGCAACTACGGATGCCGTCTGACCATTGCAAAATGATGATGCTGACATGCAATAGTGCATGGCGCTTGTCAGTCTGATGGCTCTATGCAGCGTGCGGTGATGCATGACTGATAAGAGTAGACAGGTGCGCCCATCCGCACGCACTGCTACGCTAGCCTTACATCCTGCATGTTACTGCAGGCACCAATGAAGTCATTCTCTGTTCCTAGGTCGCTTGAAGACAGCTCGGGGGGTTCAGCGTAGGAGATGGCGCTGAAAGGCACGGTGTTGGTTGGTGCTGGGGCCACCTTTCCGGGGATCCCAATCGGAGTCCGTGTCCCGAGAGACGAGTCAGTCAGCCGTAATGGCCTGCCTCGTGGGAATAGGCCAAATTAGCGAGCATTTACATTCAAAACTCCGGCTAAATTAATTCTGCACGGCTCTGACCGATACACGGTCGGGGCAGGCGGCGGCCGGAATTAATGTTTAACATGCACATCCAGCCATCACGGAGGTGATTACAGGCCAAATTGGCCGGCGCTCTCCGCAGCACTAGTCAGTGCTAGCCGGCCAGCTTCGGTTGTGAGGCACCCGGCTTTCGTGCTGCGATGAAAATTCCGTCCGGTTAGCAATCATAAGCCATCGGCAGTTTGCTCACATCAGACGAAATGGCCTGTGGTAGCCGAACGCTTCGCATGTGTATTCACAACTCCCAACTTGCTTCGTTCTCAGCTTTCAACACATCGGTCGTCCCCGGTTTGATGGTTTACCAAATGCTGCCGCTCGCCGGCCGACGATGGACACTGGCTGGGGAGTGGGCGGTCGGCATGGCACGAGCTACTGGCTCCATCAGCGCGTCGTCGCCACAGCCGCCTCTCGGTAGAGACCCGGCGGTCGGCACGGCACGAGGTGCCGGCTCCATCAGAGCATCGCGCTACAGCCGGCTCTCGGTGGAGACACGGCGGTCGGCACGGCACGAGCTGCCGGGTCCATCAGCGCGTCGCCGTCACAGCCGGCTCTCGTCAGGGACACGGCAGCCAGGTCGACTCGGTCGCCGCCACAGCCTGCATTTATCAGGGACACGGCGGCCAAGTCGGCCCGGTCGCCGCCACAGCCTGCATTTATCAGGGGCACGGCGGCCAGGTCGGTCCGGTCACCACCACAGCCGGCATTTATCAGAGCACGGCAGCCAAGTCGGCCCGGTCGCCGCGCGCACTGACGTCCGTGCGGCGAAATTACAGCGCCCGACCGACAGGCGACTGCGCGCAGTCATTGACTTTTCCCGAATATCAAATTACAAGCCATTAATGTCGAATGCTTTCGGAAAAGTTGCAGAATTATCAGGCATTGATGAATTCATCGGAAACTGGACTTAGAGTTACCGAGTTTGACGATCACCGGGTCTGATTTGACCCTATGGTTTCCAGCAGCCAATTAAAGCCTGCGCGAACTTTTCACAATAACCATTCCAATATTGTTTTACATCATGTAAGTAGTGCTTTTGCCAAAAATAAGCCGCGCATGCGATGTGTCTGACGACGTTCTGACGATGTTCACGACAGGCAAGAGCCACGTTGGCCTGAAATCAAGCGTACTATCGACGGTGAGCACATAGTGTACCTGGAAGTGTCGTGCGAGTAAAGGCCGCCAGTCAAATGTACAAAAGGTAAAGCATAAATTGTCAATGTTTGTTCAGTGCCGCTTGCTGCAAAAGTCTAAGATGAATTAGAAGTGGCCAGTTTCATATAACATTTCAGGATGCATTGTGAGCAGCGATTCTTCTCGCCTTGAACAGCTTCTGCGCCATCACGACTGAGCATCACATGACAACACCACCGCCTTTCTCGACGCCAACAGTTATCAAACAACGCTCCACCTTCAGCGCTTTGACAAATGCCAGGCAGCGGGCTCTTCGCCGATCGGGGCCCCGGAGGGGCTCTGCGCCGATTCGGCGTCGCTAGTACCGGACAGCGGCACCTTGTCGGTCTGGGCCTGAGGCCCCATTTCTCAGGACAGGGACAATGTCGGGACCATTAATTTGCATTGGTCGGGCCCCTAAGTTCATTAGGCGGCCGTTGTGTCGGTCGGTGGCCCATAGTGTCTAACAGGGGTGCTGCGTTACCAAAAAGCCACGAGTCAGTCCGAGGCAGAATTTAAGGGGACCCGAGGAAAGGTCCGGAGGTGCCCCCGGGGCCGACGATCAAGGGCTCGAACTGGATAGCCCAGAGGGCTGGTTGTAGGCCACAGTAAGGACCACGGCCCGTAGGGCCGGGCCCACAATATCAGTCAGAGAGCCTCTAATACTGCTTTGGGGCCTGCTGGGATAATGCAGGGCCATGTTTTGGCCAGACACCACCCATACCGAACAGTCGGCTCCGTGTCAGCCTGAGATCTCAGGGCCTATTTCTCAGGTATGGACAAGGCCGGCACGCAGGTGTGCACTTGGATTATGGCCCCCGACACAAAGGGGCCCCGCTGTGCCTAACACAGGCCCAGCAGAGACCCGCAGTGCCTAGGCAGGGGTCTTCATGTGGGCAAGGTGCCCCGAGTCAGCCAGAGAAACATTTGCTGAGCAGTGGTGGGACAGGCACCCCGAATGCCAGGGGGCCTCTTGCATTGGTTGAGGCCTTTTGGCAATAAAAGTACATGTGAGAGCTTCCGCTGGGAATCCACTTTGAGACATGGAACGGTCCTGTGTTAGTCAGAGGCCCCAGCACCGATGGGGGCCTCCGCCCCATTTCAGCCAGGGGCAGTTTAGCCGAACTCTGTGCCAGCTGTTCGAATGCTGCGGTGACAAGGAATGTTTGCGCGTTAATGAAGGCCCATTCGCTGATCCAGGACCAACCACCTGATGGAGATGGTCCTCCTGCACCAAGGGGGGGGGGACATTGTATGCTCTATCCCTTTGAGGGTCATCGGATTGGTGTCCCCTGTTGTCAGAATATCAGCCGGTCGGAATAGCCCTTCAGCCCTTGGCCGGGAATGACATGTGCCCCACTAGCGGTCTACCCAGCAGGCCCCTTTCCAGGACAAGGCAAAAGGTTTCTCTTAGCATTCGATAGTGCGGGTCCTAACGAGGTCAAAAATGAAAAATTGCAATCGATGTTTGCCTGAGGATGTCCACCCTTTGTCAGGATCGACTAGTTAAACAAATTGCACAAACGGTTTGGTTCTGCATGCTCGCGATCTGAAGAGCAAGAGCACCGATGGCCGCGATCTGAAGAGCAAGAGCACCGATGGCCGCGATCTGAAGAGCAAGAGCACCGATGGCCGCGATCTGAAGAGCAAGAGCACCGATGGCCGCGATCTGAAGAGCAAGAGCACCGATGGCCGCGATCTGAAGAGCAAGAGCACGATGACCGCGATCTGAAGAGCAAGAGCACCGATGGCCGCGATCTGAAGAGCAAGAGCACCGATGGCCGGGGTTTCAGCGTCTATTAAACCCGGCGGCCTTAGCCGCTGCGGGAACACCGTTCGGCGGGCGCCGCGCGCGAAAACGACCGTCGTGAAATAATGCTTCCGAAATTTGTTAAAGCCGACCTTAAGTGTTCAAAGATTGCGCTGGGGTGTGTTTTTCAACTGCATAATCTTGAGGCTGTACTCCGAACGGATTGACAGTTAAAGCAACACGAAAAATCAATATCCTACCTTTACTCTTCCAGTCCCAACAGAAGACTCCAGCACCACTTCGCAATGTTGTAAATGCTATTCCGTTCCTGCCATCAATACGAAATATTCCGTTCCTGCCATCAATACGTGAAATAGGTCCCCGGGTTACCATCTAAATGTACGCATTGACGTCTCGAAGTCCTCAAATTTATATTTCTTTTAGAAGCGTCATCGTTTTCTGCCGCCCGTTGGCCGCTGCCTACTGGTAACAGCGGGGCCGACGCCGCGCGGCCTGGCGAGGCCGCAACGCTGGGCGTCCAAGTCTTTGTTTCAAGGCCTGCGAGCGCGTGGTCAAAGTTATGTTGCGTATACTTTTGCAATTCCATCCCCAATTAAGGTTTAGCACTCCCAGACGAGCATGGATTAGCAATGTTGCTACAAATATATGGGTCATAGCGATCTACAAACTACGTTCACAGGGTCCTAGATATCTTTGTATAACTCAGAAAAATTATTTGAAATCCCTGTGTGCTATCAGTTAAGACGGTGCTCGTTGAACCAGGAGTGCAATTTCCTATTCCCTTGGAGGCTTCAGCCTCCTCCCTTCCCCTTCCCCAACTTGGGCTTTATCCCTTCTCCCCTCCAACTTTGAGGAGAAAGTGGGCCACTGCATGGGGAAACCCGTTTGTTGGCGCACTTTGTCCGTAGGTTGTGTCATTCTCACCGTCTCCCCAGTCATGCTGCGAAACTTTGCCCTCGCACTGAACCATTGTAGAATTAATAGCACGGGTGGTTTATTACATTCAGTTATTTAATCCTAGCTCCTTTTGGTTTTTGGGAAAGGGGAACCAGCAGGAGGCTCTTTGTCCACCCTTTGCCTCTCCCCCCCCCCTTATTTACCAAGACTCTAGTTGCGCCCCTTAAACTGAATGTTGGAAATGGAAGCCTCTGTGACAGCAGACATCCTTGGTTGTTTCATTGGAAAGTCAGCAGCTGTTAAGGCAAGAGCAGTGTAAATTTGACACACACTTTAAATATACATTGGAACATAATTCTGAACGTTAGATGCTTGTTGCAAGATTGTTAAGATAGTAGGAACAATTGGAAAATTCCTGGAGAATGTGGGCAGAATAAGTGATAGTACGTGGTACTCGCATGCGCATTAAGGTTGTTAATGCATGCAATTAACCGTTAATGACCGCTCTCAGCATTGCGAGCGTTGGTCGTCCACCCAACGCCGTAATGCAATGATTCTGACTGATCTGTTAAACCGTCGCTTTCTATTGCGTTGGCTGTCATGTTTGTTGTGCTGTGTTTGGTGCCGTGTCATTACGTGTTCTTGTAAAACGCAAGCGCTCATAAACCGCTTGTGAAATCCTGTAAAATATGCATGATTTTCACCATCGGTCATCTAAGCCGAAAATTCTTTCGGAAACTAAAAATCGGTGTCGAATTATAACTTTTTCTGGAAGGATCTTAAATTTAACGAAGCTCTCGGCTACCACTCACAGAAACATTGTGTATGCGATTCGTTTTGTATACACACAATAAACACGCGCACGTAAGGCATTGTATATACATCGAAAAATTTTGTCTGCAAGACTGCATGTGCGGTCATTGGCAATTAACAGCGAAATATGAGCCATGCTGGGTATTTTTTAGATATACCGGTTAAAGCCAAGCGATAGGATCTGGTGTCAGTAAATAAAAAAGCGATAATGTGGTTCGGGCTGGTGAATGAGCAATGGAAGTCAGGAAATAGGGCTGAATGAAAACCGCGAGCCATGGTCTGATGCTTGCAAATATACCAGGATCCAGAGTTCAAAATTCACCAGAAAAAAGCACGTGACAACCAGCAGAGCACATTACAAACTAAGCCCTTGTCTGACTAAGATCTCCTTTCAGCTAGTCCTAACCATGAATCTCCCAAACCCACAATGAAGTAAATGAGAAATCTTTCTGAAAAGTTACCATCCCGCGCGGTTGCGGGGGACCACACTCTCTTGTACGCAGCACGGAAAGCCCTGCAATTTTATAAAAAATTTAATGCTTGCTTTTCAGGACAAGACAAGCAATTTCTTGTGGGGCTCTGCAAATTTAAAATAAGGTCGCGCAGGGTCTCCGTGTTTTCAAAATCTTTAGAACTTTCATTCGGCATAAGAACAAGCTTGAACTCACCTACAGCATAACACTGAACAATCATAGCCTCCCCACGGTAGCCAGGCCATCAGAGTAGCAGCAGTCCAAGACACCCAGCCCGAGAAAGTCTTGTCCGTGTCGCTCAAGTTACCAAGCCGTCTGCGGCCTCGCAAACGGCGAGGTAACATATGTACGTTACGCTAAGTATATAATCCCAGTACATAAATATAAATTACACAAGTAATAGAGTACTCACAGTTGGTTTCCGAACTGGTAGAAATTTTTCCACATTTAATACACGAGTACATAACTTGTAACGGAAGCTACCTCAGCGTACTATTATCATAGATGCTGTCGCATCACTCCATGTAAATATCTGCCATGACATACGCTTCCTTTAAATGCACCGAATGCGCATGCGTGCAGCGACGCGTCCCGACCACAGGCGTGCCAGCTGGCTCGCCACCGACAGCCGGGTGTTCAACGCTGGCACGGCTGGCGCCAGATCCCCGCTCCCCGACACTGACACGGCTGGCGTCAGACCACCCGCTCCAGAACACTGACACGGCTGGCGCCAGATCCCCCGCTCCACGACACTGGCAGGGCTGGCGCCAGATCCTCCGCTCCATAACACTGACACGGCTGGCGCCAGATCCCCCGCTCCACGACATGTTTGCGGTCCTCATTCGCATGGTGTTTCCGTCAATGAGACACTAATTGAAATAATGCGCATCAGTTTGGCAGAAACAACTTAATTGTAGCAATTTAGCGGCGCCGAGTCGTTGCCATTACACACAAACCGCAACTAGAGCCATTTGGCCGCTCTATAGTGAGTCTATTGGTTTTCGCGCGGGCTCTGTGTAGGCATGTAACGGAAGTTTGGCGTACACACAGCGCCCATCAACGGTCCGCAACTCGGATACCCGGCAGTTCCGGCTGGTGAAATATCCCTTTAAAGAGTAGGCCTTCACAAAATGTGTATGGTGGCGTTATTATGTGCATCCATGTGACCAAATGCGGTCATTTCGTGGCGTACGAAATGAGCCTGCAATCGTGCGAACGCCCGCTCTCTGCTCTAATTTATACCTTCGTAATTTATGGTACATTTTCTTGTTTATGCAATGGTTTATGTAGCGGTCGTCCGGACCGGCCAATAGCTCCCAGACCGAACATTATTTCATTATGCCAACAGCGATACAACTCGTTTTCGGCTGTCTAAACGCAATATACATAACACAAATTATAGTACGTACGTGCTGGACGGACGCTCACCGCCAACCGCATGTATCGGTGGCAGGTGATCCGGCGGCTCCCTGTGTGCCATTGGCGGCTTCCTGTGTGCCATCGGCGGCTCCCAGGGTTGCATCGGCGGCTCTCTGTGTGCCATTGGCGGCTCCCAGTGTGCCATCGGGGGCACCCAGTGTGCCATCGGCGACTCCCAGTGTGTTATCGGCGGCTCCCAGTGTGCCATCGGCGACTCCCAGTGTGTCATCGGCGGTTCCCAGTGTGCCATTGGGGGCTCCCTGTGTGTTATCGGCGGCTCCCACTGCGCCATCGGCGGCTCCCAGGGTGTCCCTGGCAATGCGGCAGCGTCGCGTGTGCCGCACGATCTGTGGTGGTGTGGCCAGAGTGCTGGCAGAGCCAACGGACGTCCCAGCTGCCACCCGACGCAATCCAGGCGTCCCGGGCGGGCAGCAGGCGGGCCACGGTGCGTCCTGAGCGGGCAGCAGGTGGGCCCGGTGCGCCCCGAGCGGGCAGCAGGCGGGCCCGGTGTGCCCCGAGCGGGCAGCAGGCGGGCCCGGTGTGCCCCGAGCGGGAAGCAGGCGGGCCCGGTGTGCCCCGAGCGGGCAGCAGGCGGGCCACGGGGCGCCCCGAGCGAGCAGCAGGCGGGCCACGGTGCACCCCGAGCGGGCAGCAGGCGGGCCCGGTGTGCCCCTAGCGGGCAGCAGGCGGGCCACGGCGCGCCCCGAGCGAGCAGCAGGCAGGCCCGGTGCGCCCCGAGCGGGCAGCAGGCGGGCCACGGCGCGCCGGTTCTTTGCCGGTCAGCTCAAGGCGTTTGCAGGGCGCGGCAGTCAGCTCCGATGCATGGCAGAGCAATGCGACCGACCAACATGCCATGAGTCATCCCACGGCACTGGCAGCGGCACCTCCCGCAGTCAGAACTCATGATGATTCTCTACTGTGAAGAGAACCTCCGCCACTAGCTGAAGACTTACTTGTGCCCATGGAGACTGTCGTGTCGCCGTTTCACATCATAGCACCAATGAAGCTGCTTTGCACCTGCTCCCAAGAGTGTCAGAGCGCCGCCTGTGTGCTGAAGCGCTGCACCTGCTCCCAGGAGCGTCAGCACGCCGCCTGTGTGCTGAAGCGCTGCCCCTGCTCCCAGGAGCGTCAGCGCACCGCCTGTGTGCTGAAGCGCTGCCCCTGCTCCCAGGAGCGTCAGCACACCGCCTGTGTGCTGAAGCGCTGCACCTGCTCCCAGGAGCGTCAGCACACCGCCTGTGTGCTGAAGCGCTGCTCCTGCTCCCAGGAGCGTCAGCACACCGCCTGTGTGCTGAAGCGCTGCACCTGCTCCCAGGAACGTCAGCGCACCGCCTGTGTGCTGAAGCGCTGCACCTGCTCCCAGGAGCGTCAGCACACCGCCTGTGTGCTGAAGCGCTGCGCCTGCTCCCAGGAGCGTCAGCACACCGCCTGTGTGCTGAAGCGCTGCACCTGCTCCCAGGAGCGTCAGCACACCGCCTGTGTGCTGAAGCGCTGCACCTGCTCCCAGGAGCGTCAGCACACCGCTTGTGTGCTGAAGCGCTGCACCTGCTCCCAGGAGCGTCAGCACACCGCTTGTGTGCTGAAGCGCAGCTGTTTTCAGCAGCTCGCATTGGCAGCGTTGCAGCGCTGCGCAGCGTTTGCTGCGCATTTAGCAAATGCTGCACATTTAGCATGTAGCAGCGTTGATCTGTACTAGCTCCGCATCGACTGCGTGTTGTGGATAATGGCACCTAAGGGCTGCGATGCAGTGCTAAGGTGGTTTTCGCAGCCTGTTATGTCGTAGGCGACTAACATATGGCGGTAGCTGAGCTGCGTTTGTGCCGAGTGTTGCCGCTGTGTTTGGACGGGTACATGGCGGAGCGCTGTGTTTGAGCCTGCTTATGGTGGAGCACTGTGTTTAAGCCTGCTTGTAGTGGAACACTGTGTTCGAGCCTGCGCATAGTGGAGCGCTGTGTTTGAGCCTGTTTATGGTGGAGCGCTGTGTTTGAGCCTGTGTATGGTGGAACACTGTGCTTGGGCTGCTTACGGTTAAAGCTGTGCTTGAGCCTGTGTATGGTGGAGCGCTGTGTTTGGGGCTGTGTATGGTAGAGCACTGTGCTTGAGCCTGTGTATGGTGGAGCGCTGTGTTTGGGGCTGTGTATGGTAGAGCACTGTGCTTGAGCCTGTGTATGGTGGAGCGCTGTGTTTGGGCTGTGTATGGTAGAGCACTGTGTGTTGAGCTGTGTATGGTGGGCGCTGTGTTGAGACTGTGTATAGTAGAGCACTGCGCTTGAGCCTGTGAATGGTGGAGCACTATGCTTGAACCTGTGTATGGTGGAGCGCTGTGTTTGTGCCTGTGTATGGTGGAGCACTGTGCTTGAGCCTGTGTATGGTGGACACTCGGTTTGAGCCGGTGTATGGTGGAGCGCTGTGTTTGAGCCTGCGTATGGTGGAGCGCTGTGTTTGAGCCTGTGCATGATGGAGCGCTGATTGTTAGTGGACATCGTCAGCCAAGGCTGCCAGAGCTCGGTCCAGTGACGCCACGGCGGAATTCCCTGCCACATTCACGTACTTTATCATCGCAAGACGGAGTTATGAAACCGCGCGTGCTGATGTGGCTGGAGGTTCACGGGAACATGTCAGCTGTTGTGAATTTTAAGCTGAGTGTATTTCCATATAGGGTATTTTGCTGTTAAGCCCTGGCTTTCGTCAACTTTGCCAGCGTACTGGGTGCGCTGTGCAGGCGGATGAGCAGCCTTCTAGTGTCAACTCCAAACCCGACGTGGTCGAGGAAAGGAATAAAAAAACGTGGTTTAGCATGTCATGACAAGTCGACGGAGGTCAAAATGGTCCTCTGTCGTCCCTACGTAGCTTTGTTCGTCTTTGACAACAGGTGATTCAGCTTAAAGCGTGCCACATTTGCTTCTGCGAAAGAGCGTGAATTCTTCTCCTTGGCGCCTGTTCTCCCTCCTGACGCCTGCTCTTCCGTCTGACGCCTGTGCGGGCTGACACGCCGACCGCGCCCCCCCCCCCCCCCCAGCCGCCCAGCCGGGTGGCGGTGGGGGCGGGGGAGCGGGTGGAGGTCGCTGACCATGGGTGAGCGAGGCGCTTGCCGGCCTCTTGTCTCCGATTGGAGCGCCTGAGGTCATGGCGGATAAGCTCGAATACCTGGTACGGAGGCGAATTAGAGACAGAGTTTATCGATTGAACACTGACCGAAAGTGTGTACGACTACATATCACGCACGGATAAAACTGCATGGATAAAACTACAGTCTTTCTGAGCACTAAAGATAATGTACACAACAGGTTCAGTGCAAAATTCTGAGCTCCAAATATATAGAATATGGTAGGCCACTCCGGTCAAACTTGGGAGGAGGATCCTGCTACCCGCAACCCAGGCGGGCGCTCGAGCCTTGCCTGCAGACTACAGCACAGCACAGCTGGTAAGTGCCAATGCATCTTTTTTTCAATACAACAGCAGCTCTTGGCTGGCAAACTGGGAGCACCACGCCTGCTGCAAGCCGTTGTAACGTTAGCGAAACGACAGTGTGACAGTTGCCAAAAACGGTTCAGCTACCAGAAACGGTACAGCTACCAGAAACGGCACAGCTGCCAGAAACGGTACAGCTGCCAGAAACGGCACAGCTGCCAGAAACGGTACAGCTAAGTGAAGCTGCTGGCGATGGTATGCAAGACGTTAAAAATCGGTTGTTGGCACACTGGCGCAGCTGCCGGTGACAGACGCCACGGTTGTCACGATGTTAGGAGTCTTCATAACAGTGTCACACCGCTGCAGGTGGCCACAAAGATGCGATGCCAGTGCGACCACTGGAGAGGAGACATCGCAGCGCCACAGCCACTAATAGCCTTTATCGCGGTACTGCAGTTATCCAGATGATACAGCACGGCGTCACAGCCATGCAGATGCCATATAATGCAGACCACAAGAACAAGGTGCTGGCGACAGTACAACACGATGTCCTGGCACTACCATTCTGCGCAAAACAGCCTCGCAGCTGCTGGAACGGCACAACGCGGTGTTACAACTGGCGAGAGCCTGTATACACATGGCCACAGCTACTGGAGACGATACAACGTGGTGTTACAACTGGTGATAGCCTCTATCACCATGGCCACAGCTGCTGGAGACGGTACAAACGCGATGTTCAGCTGGTGAGAGCCTGGTATCACACGTGGCCACAGCTGCTGGGGACGGTACAAACGCGGTGTTACAGCTGGTGAGAGCCTGTATCACACATGGCCACAGCTGCTGGGACGGTACAACGCGATGTTACAACTGGTGAGAGCCTGCATCACACATGGCCCACGCTGCCGGAGACGGTACAAACGCGGTGTTTACAGCTGTCGCGATCCCGTATCACACATTGCCACATCTGCTGGAGACGGTACACAAACTCGGCGTTACAGCTGGTGAGAGTGTGTCTCACAACTGCCACATGCTGCGGG